AAAAATCCCCAGACCCCCTTGCTCCTTCCCTTGACACACAGATTCCCAACTCACTAGGTGAATTTTATGTCCCCACAGAAATTCAGAACTCATTCTGTCAATTCTTTCCAAAACTTTTATTGGCAAAATATAATTGCTGATCCAATATGTTTGAATGCCTAATATAATAGACTTTATCAGCTCAAGCCTACCTACATAAGACAGACATTTTTTTTGTTGCCAGGTTTGGAATTGCTTGTTAATTCTTTCAATAAGGCAAGAGCAATCGGAATACGAGAGACTTTTTGCATTCAGTGGCAGCCCCAGATACTTCATAGGCAGTATACCCTCAGGGAATTTAAGATAATCGCATATCTGAATTTTGAGACTATCACTAACTCCACTAAGGAAAACAGAGCACTTACTTGCATTAGCTTCCAAGCCTGAAGCTTGACCAAACTCTTGTAGGCATTCATAATTTTTTTCAATAGAGCTCATGTCAGCTTTGCAGAACAAGAGCAAGTCATCGGCAAATATCAAATGATTGATCTTCAGCTTAGAACACTTCGGGTGAAATTTGAAAGAGGAGTCATCCTTAAGAGCACTAAGTTTTCTAGATAGAAACTCCATTCCAATGACAAAGAGATAGGGGGAAAGAGGATCCCCTTGTCTTAATCCTCTTGCACCATGGAAGTATCCATGCAGTCCACCATTCAATGCTAAAGAAAATTTTGGAGAGGAAATACACTCCATGATCCAGTGAATCATGTTAATAGGAAACCCCAGACCAACCAACATACTTCTTATAAACTCCCAATTAATAGTGTCAAAGGCCTTCCTCAGATCAACATTCAGAATAGTTCTTGGGGAGTTATTTTTCCTTCCATAGTGTTTAATAAGTTCATGAGCAAGTAAGAAGTTACTGGATATGAGCCTCCCTTTCACAAATGCACACTGAGCATCATTAATTAAATAGCCTATAATCTTTTGCACCCTACTAGCAATAACTTTAGAGATGATTTTGTAGATGACATTGCAGTAGGAGATCGGCCGATAGTCAGCAGCTGATGTGGGATTAAGGACTTTGGGCACAAGAGTAATAGAAGTAGTATTAAGGGAACCCAAGAGTTTACCTGATTGAAAGAATTCTTCAACTGCTAGAAAGAGATCCTCACTGATGACACTCCAAGCAGCTTTGAAGAAGTAATTGAAAGAATTCTTCAACTGCTAGAAAGAGATCCTCACTGATGACACTCCAAGCAGCTTTGAAGAAGTAAGCATTGAAGCCGTCAGGCCCAGGGGCCTTGCTATCAGGCATGGAAAATAGAGCTTGCTTAATCTCCTCCCTAGAGATAGGAGAACTCAGTTCATTCCTCTGAGCTGGAGTTAAGACAGGGCTATTAGAGATCACACTAGGATCAGGAGTTGTGTTAGCCTTAGCACTCCCCAGCAGCTTCTTATAATAATCAATGAGTTCTGAGGTAATTTCATACAAGTCTGTAAGCCTGTAGCCATCAGCATTATATATTGACAAGATTCTACTCTGATGCCTCTTAGATTTCATCACTGAATGGAAGAATTATGAGCCCTTATCTGAGTGGAGTCCCCATTTGATATTTGTTTTTTGCCTAAGAAATGAATTTTCATTATCCAACAGAATAGCATATTTTCTGATGCTCTCCCTCTCTTTTGAAATCAAATCAGAGTTAAAAAGGTTAGTACTCAACTTGAATTGAATATCCAAAAGTTCAGCTTGAGCTCTTGAAACTTGCTGACTAATGTTCATGTAGCTCTTCTTATTAAGATCCTTGATAACATTCTTGAGATTTTTCAGTTTTGAGCAAAATTTGTACATGTTATACCCTCTAACATTCTTATTCCAAGCTGATCTTACCACTTCTAAAAAATCAGGGTGTTTAGCCCACATATTAAAGAATTTAAAAGGCTTTTTACCATCAAAAATTTCATCTCCAATAGTAACAAGCCCAGGGGAGTGATCAGAGCAAAGAGGCATCAAATATTCCACTTGACTTGTAGTATATTGATTAATCCAATCATCATTTACCAAGGATCTATCTAGTCTACTCCAGACCCTTGTTCCAGCATCTTGCTTATTGTTCCAAGTGAAATAGCAACCAACAGTTTTCATGTGGCTCAGTTGGCTGGAAGAAATAAATTCTTGAAAATCATCATTACCAGCTCCAGTAGCCTAAAAACCTCTAATTCTTTCATCACCATTTGCAGTAGCATTAAAATCACCCCCCACCAACCATGGGCAGCTAACACTCCTTTTGAAAGCAAGAAGTTCCTCCCAAAGAGTTTTCCTTTCATCACTCTGATTATGACCATAGACCACAGTGATCAAACATGACAATTTACCATCCTTGGACTTCAGTACACAAGTAATATACTAATCAGAGGAATTAACCTCTTGAATAGAGAGCACTTCACTGTCCCACAAAATCCATATTCTAGTATTGTTCACCCAGTGCTTATTAGATATCCACTTCTACTCTTTTGCAATTTTCTTTCCAATAGACTATAATTTTTCATCCCTCTTTATTTTAGTTTCTAAAAGGGCTAATAAAGAAATACTGTACTCCTGAATAAATTTTTTCACTAGCCCATGCTTAGAGGATTTATTAAACCCTCTAATGTTCCAAATAGCCAAATGCATTTATTGAGAAAAACCCCCTCTATCAACATTAGAGGGATCCAAATCAAATATTTTATGATCAATGATGGAGAATCTAGATGTTTGCACTGAAGTACCAGGTTCTCTCATAATAGGTCTTTTAGCAGCAAGAGCACTATTGACATGCGTAAATCCACTTGAGTTGACTGAAGGAGAGCAAGGGTAGGTTCTCTGCTTAGTGTGAGAAAAACCCCCTCTATCAACATGTAAATCCTCAGTTGTGCATGTTTTTCCAGACTGCAGAGGAACAGAGCTGGTCTGTGCACGTTTTACCATCTGTGCATGTTGTGCTGGCACAGTGCCATACAAACAATTGTCAGAATCTTTAACAATTGTTCCCTGAGGATTTTGCACATCAATCTTATCAGAAATTATCTCCTTAGCTTCAGGATCCCTACCTTCAACAGGGGGAGGAACATTAGAGGCAGGCTTTGGCTTCTAGACTTTTTTAGTTCTTCTGCAGTGTTGAGTATCATGTCCTACAATTTTGCAAGAGGAGCACCATCTAGGTTTGAACTCATAAACCACCTTTTGATAATAGCGTTTCCCATCAGGGCCTTGAATTTCAATTTGATCAGGCAGAGGATCTTTGAAAGGGAGATCTACCTCCAATAACACCCTTGCATAACTCAATCTTTGCCTTGATGCAGTGAGCTTATCAGTAGCAATAGGACACCCAATCATACTTGCAATCTTGCTAAAACCAATGGAACTCCATAAATTCAATATTAAATTTGGGAATTGCACCCATATGGGATATTTTTGATCCTGTAATTTGTCAATGTCCATATCAATTGTCCATGGCTTAAGCACAAGTGGACGTGAGCCAAAGAACCAAGGGTAATTTGTCAATGTCCATATCAATTGTCCATGGCTTAAGCACAAGTGGACGTGAGCCAAAGAACCAAGGTCGCCCTTCCAGTATACCTCTCATACTATTTTCATTTTGGAAATCAAACAGAAATATTCCTTGCTTAATTAAAAGACTTTAGGAATAGAGATTTTACCCCATAGTTTTGTGACATAGGACTCCATAGACTTGAACTTGACATTCATCCCAATTACATGCCCAATTAAAGCATATTTCCAGAAATTTTCACCTTCCCTCCATTCATCCTCATTAAATGAAACAGTATTCCCCAGTGAAAATGGAATGTAATTCAAAGATAACCCTCTACCAGCTTGCCTATTGTCAGAAAATAAACTGACAAAAGATTTCTTAACCTCTTGTTCTTCATTTTTAGGAATTTCAACCTCTTCAACATTATTTTCCAGACTCTTATTCTGTTCTCGAGCAATTTCAGCATAAATACCATTCAAGTTACCATCAATATTTGGAATAACATATTCAAACTTATTCTGATCAAAAGAAGGAGATCCAGACTCATCACAAGAAATCTGAACCAGATCAGTTTCAACAAATACCTCATCATCATCATCAGCCCAGGAGTGAGAGGATTTACTTAGCTCATGAGAAATTCGAAGATCGGCATCGATCTGAGGAGGAACCGACAGCGAATTCGTCCTTGCAAGAACCTCAGTCATCAACAACTTCTTCTTGGCTCCCTTAGGTCCTGTGCTCTCCATTTCTTGAGAAAGAGGATTCACTGTTACATCCGATTCGAAACCAGAACTACCGATACCAGAGCTTGCTGAGATTCCAAACGATGAAGGATAAGAGAAGAGTGAATCTCGCAGCTCCTTGCTTAGATTGCTAGTACTCTTCTTCTTCCTCGATCTCGCCATTCAAATCTAGGTGGAGGTGCACATTAGCAAGGGGGAAATCGCCTGCTAAAGTGCACCAAAAAAAGATCCCGCCGAAAATCTTAACCATAAAAAAAGAGAGAGAGAGTTATTACTGTAGCTACAGTAACAAACTTTTATTTATTGAGAGATCTCAAGTTTGTGATCTATTTTTACATTGTTAGTTTTTGTTGATTAATAAGAAATTAATTGTGTGGCTCCCGAGATCTGTTTTAGGGGTTTAGCGTAGCACCGAGTATTCCCCAACATCACCCTCTAATGGCCATATCTATCTTAACTATACTTTAATTAAGCCAAGACTGGGTTGGTTTTTCGATACTTTACTCCCATATTTACCAACTCTGCCAAAACTCCAAATTATTGGATAATCATTCCAAACAACAAAGGCATCAAGCTTCCACTTTTTACCCTCCCTCATTAGCACCTCATCATATGTGTCATCGTTCAACCTCTGCCCTCCCTCCAACATTCAACTTTTGCTTTTTCACACCTCCCCATAACAAATTAAAAAAACATTATTCTATTCTCACTATCACCTCCATAAGATCCACACCAAGACTGTCCAATCTGTCCCATTCCCACCAAACCCTAGCTTCACCTTTCCTTTCTACTCAATGGCAGCAGAAATAATCTCATCAGTCTCAAATCCCCCAGTTGTAAAGAAGAAGAGAAATCTCCCAGGAACACCAGGTATATGTGAACATATATCTCTTGTCTTATTAAAAATGGTTCATTAATGAAAGAAAAACTAGCTAGCAATGAGAATGTTGTATTAATTCTTGAAGATGAAATATAAGCTAGTAGGAGATAGTATGGAATTTTGTTCTTGCTTTGGCATATCTCAAATGGTTAGAATACATCCCTGTGAAATAAAACTATAATAAATCTTTTATTAAGCTCATTTCATATATACCTTCATAATATTTTTTAATACCCATAATTTCAATTTATAACTATGTTTTCTCATTCTTCTTCTCTCTCTTTATGTATATTCTGTATCTATTTTTTCCAGTTAATAAATTTTCTAGACACTCTTGCTCCGGGTACTTAAAAAAAAAAAAAGAACAATGACATTTCGTTCTCCGTAATCTTTCTCGTTACTACATTTGTCTCTCATGACGTACTCTTCACATTAATAGTAACATATTGGACAGATCCAGACGCAGAAGTAATCGCTCTATCGCCGAAAACCCTACTAGCGACAAACCGATTCTTATGCGAAATATGTGGCAAAGGATTCCAAAGAGACCAAAACCTACAACTCCACAGAAGAGGGCATAACTTGCCGTGGAAGCTGAGGCAGAGGAGCAGCAAGGAGCCGAGGAAGCGCGTGTACGTGTGCCCAGAGAAGGGCTGCGTGCATCATAACTCGTCGCGGGCGCTCGGGGATCTGACGGGGATCAAGAAGCATTTCTGCAGGAAGCATGGAGAGAAGAAGTGGAAGTGTGATAAGTGTGGCAAGAAGTACGCGGTGCAGTCGGATTGGAAGGCGCATTCTAAGACTTGTGGGACGAGGGAGTACCGCTGTGATTGTGGGACTATCTTTTCTAGGTAAGTATAATTTACAAATTTGGTAGTTGTTAATTACTTGTTAGATGTGTTTTTTTTTTTTTTTTTTTTTTTTTTTTGGCTTAGGGCAAAATGACCTAGTTCATGTTTTTGTATTAGAATGTGAGAACAAATCTTACCTAGTTAATAATACATTAATTATCATTTCCCGGATGATAAAGGTTTTATTAATTTCTAGGTGGTCTTCATTCTTACTATCAGTACACTGCAATCTCTTTCATAAATTCAACTTATTCAGATAACCATCGATCCATTTATATAATGAAACTGACAGACAATTATAATTGAAAAAGTGGTCTCTTTATAGGCTAGTCACAATGAAAAAGTTTCAATTTTACATGAAACACATATTTATAGGTACTTTCGTACCAACAAGTCTAGATATAACCTTATTTTGTGCTTTTCTCTTTACAAAAAAGAAAACAAGAACAAAACTATTTCTACTGATCACACTTCCTCTAAATCACAGTCAAAATATTTATAATTATTTCCACTTTGTCAAAAACTTCTATAGTTCATTGAATTATCAGTTTCTTTTTTTTTTCCTTAGGAGGGATAGCTTTATCACCCACAGAGCCTTTTGCGATGCCTTAGCCGAAGAAACAGCAAGGATCTCAGCAGCTTCGAACCTCAACAACTTACCTCCACCCTTCAACACTCTCAACTGTCAACTCACCACTCCAACTCCTCATGACTTCACGATACCTGACATCCTACAGCCCATCTCCACAAATCCTTTCAAGCCCACTGGGCTCTCTCTATGGACGGACCATGGGCCCAATACAGCTCACCAAAACTTAACCAGCAACATGCATCATATCGAACTCTATGGAGATCACCAGTTCGCATCCTTATCAAATGCACAGCAACTGGAGTCCCAGCTCAACTTGTTGTACGGGAACAAGCTCCTATCTCGGAGCTCTGGGGAGCTCACAAGCACAAGCAGCGCTAAAGAATTCGATAGCTCAAACTCGCTCCTCGAAAGTGTTCCTTCACTATTCAGCACTCAAGAAAACACTTACCATCCCCCATTGGACACATCAGCGACCGCACTGCTTCAAAAAGCTGCTTTGATGGGAGTCACTTCATCGGTTCCTCCTTTTATTCGGGGTTTCGACATGAAGATGGTGCAGAGTTCTCAGTGTCAAGATGGTAATAAATTCGATGGGTTGTTCAATATTCAGAGTAATCCGAGTCTGAACTTCGATCTTGCAAGCAGTCTAGAGAACTCAATCAATGATTTCGCGGTGTCAAACACGTTTGATGTCGGAGGAGAGACTAGGGATTTCTTGGGGGTTGGAGTTCAAACACTTAGATCGTCCTCCATTAATGGATGGATTTGAGTATGATTAGGTTTGATTTTAGTGGAAGAAATGTTATTGTCAGTGGATGGGTCAGTACTATGTATGCTTTTTTGTGAAGACTTTGTATGGGAAAAAAGTAGTGATGAGAGGCTTTTACCAGTTGGAAAGAGATTCATGCATATACTTGTTCATGGGCCTGAAAACCACTTCTTTGGGGTGGTAGCTTTTCGTTTCGGAAAGCAAGTGAGGAAAGTGAAAGTGTTGGCAAAAGAGCACCTTTTAGCTTTAGCAATGCATATTCTTTTGGCCCATATCATGCATGTCTATTCAAATTGGTACTAGTACTATCACTGTGTTACAAACAAAAATCTTTATTTAAAATGGAGTTCCAATTTTGAAAAAAGATATTACACTGATGTCCATTTTTTTACTTTCCGTCGTTCAAACAACCTTCAAAGGATTTTGATCGCCACCCCGGCCCCCTGGTGATGTTCTTGGAGAGGAGCGCGAGTTACTTTGTGCTTACCCATTTGTTAAATATGTGCGAGGGATGCAGACATGGCCACTCAGCTTTTGGCGGCGCCTGGCCATGGTTTACAATCTGCTGGTGGAGATAAATTTACTGCTGCTTGTTGATTAATGTATCAAGTTAGTGGGGGACTTCTCCATTTTGTGGAGGGTCCCCAAGCTATGCTGATAAATAAATAAATAAATAATACTTCAAAGGATATTTCCGAATCTGATGTGTATGTAGAAGGAATTCCTTTTTACGCAAATTAAATATTGAAAGTGGATAGCTCACTTTGGACGTCAAGATTAATTTGGCAGGGGAAGAATGATAAATTTTTTAATTAATGCAAAATCAGTTATGACATTGGACCTAGCTTCAAACTAAAGCCGAGCAGCCACTTGAGAATGATCATCCGTCGTCGCATCTGAAATCAATACAAATATTAATTAATTATAAAATAAATGCACATGACAATTAGTCAAGAAATTCTCTTAAAGCCCAACTCCAATATATATGTTCAAGAAGCATATATCTAAGATGATCCATTAAAACATTATGTTACAGACTACAACTTGTAAAATAAACTTTTACATTCCTTTAATTAAACTAGTCATGAGATATATGCATCACCAGAACTGTATTGCATAGCAATTTCAAAAACTCAGCCCACAATAAAAGTCTTGCTCATATCTTTAAAGTCATTTTTTTACAAAAAAACAAGGGATGATCCCTGTTCATTAAAATAAAGATTATAAAAGTTTTAGTTACAAAAGATGGACACGAAATGTATCCAGGTGTTAGTAGATAGAAGGTATAATTCAACTTAATAGGGATGTATAACTTTCTTCTTTCGAAGATCCATGAAGATGAGGAGTGGGCCTTGCCGTCACTCATCGTTGACATAGATATAAGAAAGAACAAAAGCCAGCCATACGTATATTAAGTTGAAATATAAATTCTATAAACTAACAACAAAAACCAAAAAACATAACAGCTTATAATATTCTAGATACATTGAAATATAAATTCTATAAACTAACAACAAAAACCAAAAAACATAACAGCTTATAATATTCTAGATACATGTTTTCAAAAATAACAAAAAAGGGCAACAAAAACCAAAAAACATAACAGCTTATAATATTCTAGATACATGTTTTCAAAAATAACAAAAAAGGGGTCTGTAACATGTATGATCTTTATTAATCAACTTGCCCTGCTGATTGGTTGAGAGTCCAGTCTTGCTGACAAACGCTTAGCACATGAACCCCTTCCTACACTTGTCCATTCATATATACCAGAAATAGCTTGATTGATAATAGCTTTATAAGAGAAATTTCTTTGATCACAAATAAACCTGTTTTTTGTAATCCAAATGTTCCAACATATAGCAGAGAAAAATAAACGCCGTAAATCTCCTTCAGTTCCTCTTAAGTGTTCAATATTTTGTAACAGATCCATGAAAGACACAGGCCATTGGAAAGGTAAGCAATAAGCTTTAAAGTGTGCCCAAACTTGCATGGATATTGGACAGGAAAAGAATAAATGATCACGACATTTAGTATCCAAACCACAGAGTGAACATAAAGAATCACATCGTCAACCCTTTACTATAAGAATGTCTTTTGTGTGCAGCTTATTATTGAATAAAAGCCAGTTAAAAACCGATTCTTGCTTGGTATGATGGAATTCCAAATAGCTTTATAAATAGGAGATGTAATTCCTCTAGAGATAAGGAAATTATATAAAGATTTGACTGAGTAAACTCCAATGGATGTGAGAGACCATCTTGGAAGATCATGTTGATAATTGATATTGCAAGATTCAATTGCATTCATGAGCTGTAATCTGTCAGTTTGAGATGAAGGTGAGATACATCTCTTAAGTAAAGGATGCCAAATCCATGAATTGTTGTGAAAATAGCCCTGACTATGGATAGATACATTGGCAAAGAGGGATAAATTATATAGAATAGGATATAAACTGGCTAAGGAGTTTGATCCAAGCCATTTATCTTCCCAAAACCTAATTTTATCTCCAGAACCAAGTTTTCATATAACCTGATGAAAGAAAGCTTCCTGATGAGAGATAATACCATTCTAGAAGTATGAATTAGAATGAATAATTCTGGAGCTTTGATAGCATGAATTTCTATCCAAATAAAGATGTCTGAGAAAAGCACCCGTTGTAGAATTGTTGTCCAAAAATTTTCAAAGTCATATGGCTAAAAGAGAAACATTGAAAGTAGAAAGATCTTTGACCCCTAGACCTCCTTCAGATTTACTTAAACATACCTTTTTCCAATTTATCAAACATTTGAATGCATTCGTATCAGCCGTTCCTGTCTGGAGAAATTTTTTTCTAATCTTATCCATCTCTCTTATTAGCCACTTAGGCAATTTGTAAAAGGACATATAATATAATGGTATGGAAGATAAAACTGAATTTAAGAGTACTAGTCTACCACCAAAAGATAGACAATTTTTCTTCCATGTTGCCAATTTCTTATGCATGTTATCTATAAGAGGTTGCCAATCAGCCTTAGATAATTTACCATATTTTAGAGGTAATCCAAGATATTTTATTGGTATCTGCTCCACTTTACAATTTAGCATAGATGCAAGGTGATTACTTTTGTTTGTAATATTGCCAAAATAAATCAATAAAGATTTAGAATAATTGATACCAAGTCCAGATAGCTCTTCAAAAATATAGAGAATGGCTTTAAGAATAGAAATATTCTTAGAATCACTTTTGACAAAAAGCAAAGTATCGTCCGCATACTAAAGAGATCTCAATTGATTTAAAGGCTCTTTGATTCCAAGATCAGATAATAATCCAGCTTTGACATTATTTTTTATCATTCTGTTGATCACATCCACTGCAATGTTAAACAACATAGGAGATAGAGGGTCACCCTGTTTAAGACCTCTATGGTAACTAAAAAATTTTGAAGGATGAACATTAACTAAAACTGCACAACTGGAACTTGAGATAATATATTACATCCACATACACCATTTATCACCAAAACCTCTTCCCTTAAGTAATGATATCAGAAAATTCCAGTTTATGGAGTCAAAAGCTTTAGTAAAATCAATCTTGAACATGGCCACTTCTTTTTTCTTCTTTGAACAAAAATGTATCATCTCATTGGCATGGAGAAAAGAATCCAAAGTTGATTTTCCCATTTGGAAAGCAGACTGACTTGAAGTCGCTAAGTTTTGCATATGAGGGGCTAATCTTGTTGCCAGAATTTTGGTAAAAATTTTAAAGAGGCAGTTGATTAAACTTATGGGCCTGAAATCTTTCACCAAAGAACTATCTTTAATTTTAAGAATTAGAGTGATAAAAACCTTGTTCACTCTATGCAAATTTGATGCATCTTGATAGAAGAAATTCATGAGAGGTAATATCAGACTTGATAAGATCCTAGAAATTTTGATAAAAAATCATTGAGTAACCATCTGGACCTGGTGCTTTATTAGGCTTCATATAAAAAACTACTGCCTTAATTTCCTTTTCTGAAAAAGGAGTCTCTAAAGAAGAAAGATCCAAATCATGCTCAGGATATAAAGTAGACCAATCTATGGATAGACTGTTTCTTATAGAATTACCAAACAAATTGGTGTAATACTCCAAAAAGGCGTTGGAAATAGCTGTTTGATTAGTAATCTCTATACCTTGATGAGAAATAAGTGAAATATAGTTGGCTTTCTTATGAAAAGATGCAGTTTTATGAAAAAAGCTGTATTTGAAGCCCCTTCCTGAAGCCATTGAACTCTTGATCTTTGATGCCAATATGTCTCTTCTTCTTTAATAATTGATGAATAAGATAATCTAAGAGTTTTTCTATCTTCTATCTCTGAGTCAGATAAGTGTCTATGCTCCTCTAGAAGATCAAAATGATTAATTTTTGATAAGATATCAGATTTTCTAGAAGATATAGAACCAAGAACATTTTTCTTCCACCATTTAATCCTTCTTTTAAGATGTTTTAACTTCAAAAAAAAAACATCCACAGGATTGCCTGGACATTTGAAATTTTTCCAACAAGACTTAATGAAAGGAACAAAATCTGAATTGTGAAACCAACTTTTTTCGAATCTGAATAAAGGAGGAGCTGACTTAATACCTCCAGTGTCAAGGAGAATAGGAAAATGATCTGAACCCAAAGAGGGTGGAGAAAATTACAAACAAGAAGGGAATTGTTTTTCCCAATTTGAACACATTAGGAATCTGTCTAGACGTGCCATAGATGGATTCAATCTCTTATTAGACCAAGTATAAGCTCTACCAGAAAGAGGGAGATCAATTAGGGATACTGTAGTAATACAATTCCTGAAAGAATTCATATCAAACGGGGATCCAATCCTACCACTACGTTCATCAGATGATAGAGTTGCATTGAAGTCACCACAAAGTAACCAAGGTCCAGATAAAATGGAACGAATCCTATGAAGTTCCCACCAACAGATCTCTCTATCTTCCTTATCAATAGGTGCATAAACAGAAGTGAAGATGAAGTTCCAGTTAGATGGATTGTGATGAAGAGAAACTAAAACTGAGAAAATCCCAATATATGATTGTTTTAGAGAGAAAGAATCTGACCATCCAACAATAACACCGCCCCTTGTATCTGTAGAATCGAGATGACACCAATTTTTTATCCTCTTACCACCTAAAGATCTGGGAATTCTAGATGAAGGAGAAGATAACTTGCTTTCCTGAATACTGATGATATCAATTGAAGACTT